CGCCTCGTCTTTGTCGGCCGCGGAGGGGGACGCGGCGCCACCGGCCGCGGGCTCCTCCTTGTCGGCGGCCGGGGCGCTGCCGTTGGCTTGCAGTTCCTCCTTGGCGCCCGGCTCGGCGGCCGCGGGCGATGCGTCCCCGTTCACTTTGACGTGGCCGTTCTCCTGCGGGGCAGAAAGAAAAAAAAAACACAAAAACCCGGGAGTGTCACTCGGTGCCCCCGAAGCAGTGCGCTCCCCGCCCACCCGGGGAGCAGCTTAGGCAGGGATCCGTGCGCCCCGACGGCACGTGGCCCGCTGATCGCGGCGGGAGGATGGACAGAGGTGGCCCAGGTTCCCCGGGGGGGGTTCGGAGAGGTGCCCGCGAGGCTTGGGCGAGCCAGTCTCCCGGTCTGCCATCAGGATCCCCATCCCTCGCGCCCTGGACGGCCCGAGCTCCCGGGCCTGGGGCCGCGCGCCCCGGGCTTGGAGCCGGCAGGGGGCGCTGCGCCTCCACCGCACCGAGCCGGGCGCGGGCGGGCGGGCGAGCGCTCAGGGGCGGGGCCACCCCGCCCTGCCTAGCCGGGCCCTGCCCGCAGGCCGAGGCGCCCCCGAGCCGGGATCGCGCAGCCCGGGAGTCCGCAAACAAAGCTCAGGTGGCTGCTCGGCCCTCTCCGAGGCTCAGCCACCAGCAGCAGGGCTGGGGAAAACCCATTATTTCTGAAGTCTCGGCCCTGCTCCCACGCCCACCTTCGCTCCTAATTCTGCAAAGCGGGGCGCGCCCGGGCAGCTCCTTTTGGCATTTTTTTTTTTTTTAACGGGTTGAAAGCCTCTTGACAGAGCCGGTCTTGCCCCCTTAGTAGATTTAGGAGCAGGGCGAAAGCAACACGGCCTTTGCTCTAGGAAAAGAGGCGTGGTGGGTGCCCGGTGTTTGTGAAGCAGCCAGCCATGGCCGACCTCTTAAGCCCACCCATCCGTGGCTCTCTGCCTGGGTCGCAGCAGCCCTGGGCCAGTCCTCGAGGGTGGCCGAGGTGCCACTCACACGAACTGGTCCGGACCAAAACACCAGAACTGCTCCCCCCACCCCCTTCTTGGCCCACAGGAAAGGGTCTTTTAAAAACCCACCGGGTATTCCCACCACACCAGGGACACCATTTAAAAAGTCGTAGGGGGTGTGTGATTAACACAGCTACAAAATAGCCCCATCCGAAAGGCACTTCGAAAAGCTGCCTGTCCAGCTCGTAACCAGCCGCCTCTCCAAGAACCTGGGGCACCCTGCCTCTGGATACAATGAGACAAGCCTTCTCGGCTTGCCTGTCTCCACTGCCGTCCGCGTTGGCTCCCCCCTTCCTACACACACACACATACACAAGCGCGCGCGCGCTCGCGCGCACACACACACACACACACACACACACACACACACACACAACCACACCAGAAATCTCAAAGACGACTCAATCTCGACAATAAATACGAGAGCCACCCAAACATCGCTGTGGCCCCAAACACAAATGCAACCTGAAGGGGCGTGGGGGGGGGGGACCTAGCTAGTCACGTTCAGCCAATATCCAAACCACGCCATTTTAGACCATTTATCACTCTTCCTCCCCTCTACTCAAGAATGCGCCAGGATCCTTAGGAACCACTCCTCTGGGGTGGGGGCTGGGGGCACCCTTCCTATGAAAAATTGACAATTTAAGCTATCGTCTCCCATTCAACTTTCAGGCTAGGGTCTGGCCACGTTCCTCTCTCCCCGGAATGCGCCCTGGGCGCGACCAGCGGGAAGGAGAGGCGTCCAGATTCGAGAGCGACACCCGAGACAGGCACCCCAGAACCACAGGTAGAATTTACCTGCCCATTGGCTTTGGAAGGCGACGAGGCCACAGCCGCCTCCCCGGGCCTCTCCGCGGCGGCTTCTCCCTTCGCTGCGGTCTTGGAGAACTGGGCACCCATGCTGGCTTCTTCAACAAAGAAACTCAACAGATCCAAGAGAGGAAACAAAGAGCCGCCTTCTTGGGGTTGGTGTAACGACGGGACGAGCAGCGGCGGCGGCAGCGGCAGCGGCAACAGCGGCGGCGGCGGCACACTCACACCGGAGGGAGGGGGTGGGGGTGGCGAGGAGGACAGGAGAGACCCGATTAAATACACTCCGGATTTAAAAAAAAAAAAAATAAATTTTTTTTTTTTTTTTAGTCGAAGAGATCAAAAAAGCAGCAGCTCAGGAGGGAGGGAAAAAAGGTGGAAAAGTCGAGCACAAAAAAGGAGCCCAAGTGTAATTTTTTTAAAAAAGAAGTAATAAAAAAAAATCCCAGATTTGTAGCCGCACTGTAGACAAGAGGAAAATGGAGAAATCTCCCTGGTTGCTAATAAGATGCGGGGTCCAACGCCCAAGTGCACAGATGAATGGGCTCGCGGGCGCTGACGCGGCCCCCGCGCGCGCTGGCCAATCCGCGCGCCGCACACAAAGCAGGGGGCGGGGCCTGCGCTCCGGGCGAACAATGGAGCCGCGCTTTGCAAACGGTTTGAAAATCGGCCTCAGACCGAGAATTAATGTCCTCCAAATAAATAAATCAATTAAAAAATACGTGCTTCTCCTCTCCCTCGGCCTGGATATAACCATGCACCTCTTGATTGGCTTGCTTTGTTTGGAATCAATTAACACGGGAGGGGGTACTTATGGATGGGGGCGGAGAAAGCTTTAACTTGACTCGCATTGACTCTGGTCGGTCTATATCCGTGTCTGTCTCTCGCCACTCTCTCCCCTCCCCCATCTTCCCGTGTGTTTACGTGCATGAGTGTGTATGCAAGTGTTAAAGACAATGGGTAGGATTTGTGTGAGCGTAGCATGTTTTCCTTCTCCGCGTTCCATATGGGTTTCACAGATAGTGCGCAAGGGTTTTTTTTTTTTTTTAATTTATCTAAAAAAAATTTTTTTAACTGCTGCAATTGTTAAATCGTCCCACACTGAAAGGTATTTAAACCACAAATATCGAATCTCATCTAGCGAGATCTCCAGTTGGAATTAGGTCTGTAGGCCAGATGTGGGAAATGTAAAAGCAGCAAACAGCCTGAGCCATGCATGCTCCTTTCCCTCTCCCACGGGCGTGAAATAAAATATTTTGAGATTGGTCCTTGGAGCGCCTCAAATCGCGTGTCTCCGGCTATTCCAATTAGCGATCACTTTCCCACAAAACACTGTGAGGACCATTTGCAGAAGATCGAAACTGCTTGCATTTTATCACCGTATGGAACGACATAATTAATTTCCTCTGTGATAAAGCGAGACAGAGCCTTGAGTGTACGAATCCATATTTACAGTTGGGAGGGCTGCTACTCTCGTCGACAGGGTTGTTTTCAAAGCCTGCTGCCAACATCGGAGGGACTTTCATTTTGAACGTGTGTGTGCAAAGCAGCGGGTGTGCTCCTGGAAGGGAGGCAGCAGCTTGGAAAGACCGATTCCGAGTCTCAGAAGAAATCGCCTGCAATGTTGAGAGACAGCAAGCAAATCCCTGGAGACTCCACGTCTAACTCGGGCTAGAGGCAAAGCTCTACAGCGCTGTTGGAGGATATCTCTCTGGGTCACTACGCCCCTTGCCACCGAAGTACCAGACGCTGTTAGTGTGTGAAAGACAAGGCGTTGATTTAATGTATCTGGAAGGGAAGGGGATAGAGGATGCAACCTAATAAACATTCCTCTACCACCCATAATTTCGCTCACACACACACACACACACACACACACACACACACACACACACACACACAAAATCCAAACCATTTTTTGCCGTTTGCATTTAGTGACCGTGCAACGTGAACGATGGAGGCCAGCAGTCGAGGGAATGGTTCGTTTCTCTTGGTGTTGGCTCGGAATTGTCAAACAGTTTTATTTTCTGTTCATTGTAGGGAAATAGGTCACACTTTGAGTGAAAAGGACAGTTGGTTCAAGCCAATAACCCTTTGTTCGAGGGCTCTTTGACAGTCACTGAGCAGAACATCGTTGCGTGAAGCTTCGTCTCCTGACTGTCCAGTTCCTTTAGATACATTTATTCAATCCCGAAGTCATATTCCACAGAGGAGCTGGAAGGACCATTCCGTCGAAATACATCGTGCCAGCCAACGTGTTAGCACCCGGTAAGGGAGCCTTCTGGCCTGGCCTGAGACCCCAGCCGTCAGGATGGACGCGAATCCCTCTCATTAGCAGTTCCAACTTGAAAAGCCAACTGAGTTGATCCAACGCCACCATCCAGGAGATTCCCAAATGCTCCAAAGGCAATCTGTGCCCCCACCCCACCCCACCCCCACGGGAACCTTGCCCCTTCCTCTGAGTCCCCCTCCGGTTTTAAATTGGGGTGATTGCTAGTTCGCTTTCGGATTTTCTCCCAGACATTCGGGGGCTGCTTTTATGGCTCCTTTGTTAACAGGCTGCCGAGCAGCTTTCCCCCCCCTTTTCCCTCTCCAATGCCTATTTGCCTGGTATCGGCTCGTCTCCCAGGCAACCGTGGGGAAGATTGGGAGCCCGAGGCGCCCGGAGGGGGGAAGGGGCGGAGCCCGGCGGGGTGGGGGCGGGGATGCGCTCGAGGGGAGGGGCGGAGGGAGTGGGCCAGGAGGAGACCCCGGGACCCAAGCGGAGCAGATGGCCGCGCCGGGGCGGGGCCGTGGAGCGTCAGGGGAGCGAGGGAGCCAATCCGTCCCCGCTGCAGCGCGGGAGCGAGCCAACGAGTGTAAACAGGCAGGCTGTCCCCCTGCGGTCCCTACATTGCAGCTGAAGATTTCCTTTGGATAAGAAAATGCATTTCCAGCGTAGTTGGAAAGCTAGCAGTCCCCGGGAGAGCGAGTGGGGAGGAGTGTTGGGACCGAGCCCTAGATTTTGCTCCCCTCTTCCATCCCCTTCCACTCTCCCTCAGGCACCCACTAAGCCGGATGGGGATGAAGGAGAGGTGGAGGATGGGTGAGGGGGGCAGGGCTGGGAAAAGGGAAAGAGACTGAGTCTGCTACCGGCCAGAAGGATGGCCTGCAAGCTTGTGGAGCTGCTGGTCTTAAGAGTACTGGAACTCCTCAACATTTCGGTGGTCTCCCTCCTGGAGTTCAGGGTTTTGGAAAAAAAAAATAGCCATATGCATTTATATGAGATTAAAGGACCTAGAAGGACATTAAAAATAGGAAACTGTCGCCTGTCGCCAACTCAACAGGAAGAAAACAGGCTGTCATTCTTCATTTGAGCTGTTTTTGGAGGGATGTGGTGCGTGTGACAATACAGAGTGGTACTGTATTATACAGACTGACCTCCAACCCTTTGCAGCCCAGGCTGGTCTAGAACTCTTGACTCACAGGCTCAGCTTCTCAAGTGCTGGCAACTGACAGTTGTGTACCACTATGGCCAGTTCTGTTCTCCCATTTTATTCCGCTCTGGAATTTTCGAAGATGTGGAGAAGGGCTGTTGAAGTGGCACCTTTGGTAAAGGTGCTTGCCCTCAAGTCCGAAAACCCAAGTTCCAACCTGAGGACCCAGATGGTGGGTAGAGAGAACCAACTCTTGCAAGTTGTTCCTGGACCTTAACCCGTACGATGGCACACATTGCCACCTCCACCACACACAAAAACAAATAACAATACAATGTTGATAATCTGTCCGTGGACTTCTTGAAGGATAAACTGAGTAGGTTTAAGAGATCTCCAAGTTATTTTTCCATAAAACATTAGCACTTAAACTTTAAAAATCATTTCACAGTATCTTGAGGACATGCTGTATGTGGGAACCTTGCAATGTAGGGCTTACTTTCATACAAGTAGGAAAGGCAAAGACTGTCCATGGTCTCCTGGAGCTTACGTTCAGTAGATGAATCTTACTGAGCTTCAAGCCTCTCATTGGCCAGGGGAAGATGTGAGGAAACCCATAATGAAGAGGCAGTACGCATGAATGCTTCAACACAGCAATAGGGACTAGTCACAAACAAATACAAATGTGATTTAAAATAGCTGTGCTCTGAAGGAGAAGAACACAAGGCGCTGTAAGGAAGTAGAATACAATCAGAGGAGCTAAAGAAGGACCCTTCAGGTGTGGTACTGAAGTGGAATCCTAAAGATGAAGTAGGACCGAACTGGGTGCAGAGCTGCCCACAGCAAAGAGCCCCGAGAGAGAAGAGCTTGTGGTCAGAGACGGATGAGCTGTTTAGGTGAGAGCTCCACCTCACACGGCTCCTCCCCAAACCCGCCTCTTCAGAGCCCGCCAAACACAGCTCCTCCCCCGGAGAGGCTCAGGACCACTCCCACAGGGAATAGATAAGCAGCATCTCAGAAGACAGACTCATGGTTCTTCCAGCCTCTTCCCTTTCTCCTGGGGGTAGGGGTGGCGTTAGGGTTTAAGGAATCACTTGGGAGCGCTTTACCCATTAAACCTGGGCTTTTCCTGATTTGGTTTGTTGCGACCTCGGAGAGGCCTTCAGGAGGCCTAAAACTGATCATGGGCTTTAACTTAGTCTTTCGAAGCATCTAAAACACATCACAGTGCAGAAATCAAGTGCACAGATCCAGGACTCTGGAGGTCAGAATGGTTTAAAATGTAAATATAGGGCTGGGGAGGCAGCTCAGCAGAGAAAAGCACCCTTGTAAAAAGCCCAGGTGTGCCTGTAACCCCCCGGGGCTGGGGGAAGACCTCTGGTATGTCCTTTCTGTCAGCCTAGTTCCAGGTTCTGTGAGACCTTCTGTTGAGTGATTGACACCTGATGTCTCCTCGGACCTTGTGCACATGGGCATGGACCCACACACACTCATGCATACAGCACACTCACCTGTACATACACCACCACCATACACACAATTTTTAAAAAGTGCATATGGATTAGGAAGCATTCTAAGTGCAAATGTTATCAGAATCCAGGTCATAAGAACATGCAACAGATAGCAGATAGGGTCCAAAAATCACTCTGAGTAACTTCTGCTCTCACAGGATAGACAGAAGAGGAGAGGCTGAAGAAGGCCAAAAAAGAAACTCTCAGGAGCAGGCAAAAAAAAAAAAAACCAAGAGTGTGGTCAGGGAAATCAGTGGAAATGGGTATAGAGGAGGAATGGTTCCTTTCGCCAAATGCTGGAGTGTCATCAAATCAAATAAAGAATGAAAACATTGTAGAAGTTACTGCCCCCCCTCCCCCCGCTTTTCTCAAATGAAGTCTCACTCTAGAGTCCAGGCTTTCCTCAAACCCTGTGTAATCCAAGCTAGCATTGTGTTCTTAACAATCCTCTTACCTCTGTGTCCCAGTGCTAGAGTCTGGGGACAAACTGCCAGAGCCAACTTTCCTGAGCAGTGTTTGTTTGTGTGTTTGTTTGTTTGTTTGTTTGTTTGTTTTGAGACAGGGTTTCTCTGTGTAGTTTTGGTGCCTGTCCTGGATCTCACTCTGTAGACCCGGCTGGCCTCGAACT